AATGGCGACGAAGAGAAGACAAGTCTATTGGGTGGTGGTGGTGGTGGAGTTAGGGGTGAGGTTGAGGTTGGGGTTGGGGTTGAGGGGGTTGAGAGGGTGGCAGTGGATGGCCAGGCGGACAGGGCTGGAGGCACTTGGATGGGTAATGCGGCGTTCGGGAACAGCATGTTCATGAGGGTTGGTTTTTTTTTTGGTGTTTTGGTGTGGCATCTTAACGAAGGGAGTTTTGCTGTGATTGTTGGGATCAATCGGATTGTGATCAATTGATTAGGAATCGATTGATTACGTTTAACATTGTGCTGACGGTGGGGGAATAAGTAAATTGTTCGATCGGAAATCGGATCGATAGAAATGACATTTTGAGATAGTTTAAATTCGGAATTCCGACGATGGAGCTGAGGAAAGTCATCGATCGGAATTTGACGACCGAACTGATGTTTTGAGATTCGGATTCGGGGGGGGGGCAACTAGGGGGGTCGATTGGAATATGAGTGAAATATTTTGAGATTAGGCAGTTTTGCTGTGATTGGGATCAATCGGATTGTGATCAAGGATCAATCGGATTGTGATCAAGGATCAATCGGATTGTGATCAAGGATCAATCGGTTAACAATCACTAATAATAACCGATTGGGATCAGTCGGTTATCATTAGTGATTGTTATTAAAAATTTGAAATTTCGACGGACGGACGTCGGTGTTATGCACGCACATGTCACAAATGAAGTGCAGTTAATTAATTAATTAATTAATTAATTAATTGCAGAGCGAGAACGACCTGGCAGAGGTGTGTGCAGCGAACGGCTTCACGCTGGCCACATCCCCCCTGATCTACAGCGAACCCGCGCTGACCGATTTCTTGAATCTGGATTTAGAGCGCTCTCAGCAGCAGATACCACACAGACTATTCGCCATCTCCGACCCTGCCTTGCCTCATGTTTGTTTATTTTATTTTTATTATTATTTATTATTATTATTTATTGTTTATTATTATTAATTATTATTACTTTATCATTATTATTATCATTAGTTATTATTTACTTTATTAATATCATTATTATTATTTATTATATCATTATTAATATTATTAATTAACTATATTAATATCATTATTA